TTTCTCTTCGTCGCTCCCGCGTGCTAGTTCTCGCTTCCCCGCCGGCTCTTTGCAATATATCCCCTGGTTGGCGATTTTCCCTCGAGGCCCTATCACCGCAGCCAATTCCTCCTGCATAACGGCTACTTACGATCAGCTGGGTGTTTGCTTTATCCCTGCTTGATTAACTCGCCCAATCTGGATTTCGTCAACACCACCTGCGACGTCAACTGAGCCTGCATTGCGCCTGCCGACAACCCTGGGCTCCTGCGCTGAACCCAGTCATCCCAATCTACTATAGTGAAGCCCGTCACGACGCACGACCACATCATCGCCGCGATCCAAGAGAACGTCTAGGCTGCTCTCTCATCACCGATTCGGAACAAGTGCCGTTGTGCTTCTTCCCACCCACCTACCCCCGTCTGTCGTTTGCTGGCCAAGACAGAGTCCACTCTCTACATATCCCCATCCCCACCTGGTATACCCTCTCCCCTCGGACTCTCCCTCGCCACCTTCCTCTCCACCACGACAATGTCTCTCTCCCAAGTCATAAGTGGCCTCTCGAAGCGTGCAGGTCATGGTGAGGAAGACCCAACTGCTGGCCTGGAGAATGTCGACGTTCAGCACTACCTCGGATACATCTGGTGGATCATTGTTGTCGTCTTCTTCGTGTACCAGGTCATCCTCTACTTCGTCCGTTACATTCGCACCGTAACATGCCTGAACAACGAGACGCAAAGATACTTTGCTATTCCCAACCGGACCTACGCAGCTTTCAAGAAGCACTGCCTCGATGCGCCCCTGTTCCGCACCCGTCACCACCGCGAGTTCAAGCTCTCCTCCGCCATTGGTGTTGGAACCCTGCCTAGCCGTCTGCAGAGTTTCTTCCTCGTTGGCTACTTTGCGGTCAACATTGGCTTCTGTGTCTGGAAGATCGACTACAGCACCTTCTCCTCGGGTGCCGGCGAACTTCTCAGCCGCTCGGGTATCATGGCTGTCATCAACATGATTCCATTGTTCCTACTTGCTGGTCGCAACAACCCTATCATCAAGCTCACCGGTATCTCCTTCGACACCATGAACCTCATCCACCGCTGGTTTGGACGAATTGTTATCCTCGAGGCCATCGCCCACACTGTATGCTGGATCGCCAACAAGGTTCACACAAGTAAGTTTGGTCGTGTTCGGTGTCACAGGAACGAAGTGCTAACAAACTCACAGAGGGCTGGGGTGCTGTGCAAGCATCCATCACTGGAAGCGAGTTCATCATGACGGGTTTCATTGGAACCGTCGCATTCGTATTCCTACTGATTCAGTCTCCATCGCCAGTGCGTCACTCCTTCTATGAGGTTTTCTTGCACGGTCATATCGTTGGTGCTGCCATCGCACTTGGAGCTGTATGGGTGCACCTAAAGGAGCGACCACAACAATTCATGCTCTACGGCGTACTTGCTCTCTGGGTCATGGAGCGCACATGGCGTTTTGTCCGCCTCGTCATGCGCAACGTCGGAAATGGCGGTACCGGTTGCGATGTTGAAGTTCTTCCCGGAGACGCCCTCCGCGTGACAGTCCGCATGGCTCGCCCGTGGAGGTTCCGCCCTGGCCAGCACGCATATCTGTACATTCCTTCCGTTGGACTATGGACCAACCACCCGTTCTCTGTCGCTTGGAGCGAGGAGGAGGAAGACCTTACCATTGCTTCCTCCGTCGCCGATGAGAAGGGTCTTCCCATGAACCGCCAAGACATCCTTGAGCATCACAAGACCAGCATGTCTTTCATCATCCGACGACGAACCGGTTTCACCGACAAGCTATTCAAGAAGGCAGACCTATCCGCTGCCGGCAGATTTTCCACTTCGGCATATGTCGAGGGCCCATACGGTAAGTACCGAAGCTTGTTTTCCCCAGATTCTGCAATATCGCGGATATTAATTCAATTTAAACCCATGCTAACGTCACACTACAGGCGGTGAGGATCTCAGCTCTTATGGTACTGTCATGCTATGGGCTGCTGGTATCGGTATCACTCACCAGGTTCCTCACGTCCGTGATATTGTTGCTGGCTACGCAAACGGAACTGTCGCCACTCGTCGTCTCACCCTTGTTTGGATCATCCAATCGCCTGAACATCTTGAATGGATCCGTACATGGATGACACAGATCTTGTCCATGCCACGCCGTCGTGAGATTCTCAAAATCCTGCTGTTCGTTACTCGTCCTCGCAGCACCAAGGAGATTCACTCGCCATCCTCCAGCGTTCAAATGTTCCCTGGTCGCCCCAATGTCCAAGCCCTGGTCGACCAGGAGATGCAAGAAGGTATTGGTGCTGCTTGTGTCAGCACTTGCGGTACCGGTGGGTTGGCGGATGAGCTTCGCCGCTCTGTCCGCAACCGCGAGTCTCAGTGGAACGTCGACTTCCGCGAGGAGTCTTTCTCGTGGTAAACGTATCCCTGCTCTGTTTCATCTTTGGTCTCGTCATATCGGTATACCCTCTCGTCCATTGATCTCTAGCCTTGCAATCTATCATGTTTGGAAGGGACCACCGTTGGATCTAATGAGGACATGCTTGCATCTACTTCGCTGTACACATTACATTTCGTTTCTCTACCGCGTCATCTCTTGATCTGGTCTCTTTTTACACTCCTTGTATCTTATCCTGTGGAACAGGCACGAAGACAAAACATTCATGTGGTCGAGCGTGCCTAGCCAAGAATGGCTTATGGCTAACTATCAATGTTATTACGTTACCACAACGGTCCTTTCACGAGCATGGCGATGCTTCTCTGGCGTTCAAGAGTCCTACTTCGTTCGAGTGTGTACATATCGGCGTCTGCTACTACAGAATTCACGATTGATTCAAATAGTACTTAATCCTCCATCAATATTCCTAGCATGCGTCCTATTAAGCTGCGACCGGTATGCTACTTCTTCGAACCAAACTAGCGGTATGGCTAGCGCGATGTCGTCTTATGCACGCTGCCGCGATTGAGGAAGCTGCTCCAGAAAGCACACGTATATGAACGGCAACCAGACGGCAAGAATAATGATGCCCTCAACAGATTGGGCGATATCTGCCCGTGGAAACCTGATAACCCCAGAGCTGACTGACACTACTGTAAGAGTTTAGGACGCGCGGCCGCCGAACCGGCGAATTTAGACATTACAGACACTTGTTTCAAAGTCTCTGATAACGCCATCACTACACATTCCTATTCGACGTTGCCATTCGATGCGACAATCGATTTTAGGCATCTGGCGGTTATGTACCGTCTTTTCTACATTGCTAGTGCGCGCTTCTAGGTGCTACCACGTTGAGACGCACAATGGTGCGGTTGTTTCAAAGCGCCCCATTGTTGCTCAACAACTGGTTGTAGTTTGCCAACATTCGTGAGTCATAGCGTACTCCTATGATGTATGACAGACATCCAATACTCGCTGCTATTTGAGGTTCGGACGATATGAGGAGATCCGAAGGCGCGTGAACACTAGGTGGCGGCTGAACTTGGTGCATGACTTGAACGCAAGGCTTACGGCTGAACGTAAGGGTATGACGATTGTCCTTGAAGTCTATATAGGGCTCTGGTAGCACATTGCTTGTATGTTCACAACGTGATAATGCGGTATGTATGGTTCCCAACCGGTAAACCTATTGGCAAAGGCAACTCCACCAACCCGATCCTATTCAAACGCTTCACCGGGGAGATATTGCCTTTGATTCTTCAAAGCGATAGTCAACTCATTGTGCAGGTCGCGAGGGCAAAAGCTCTCAAGTTCGAGCCGGCGTAGCTGCACCAGCCTCCGCCTGATGAACCCAAGCCTAACCCTCAGTTCGACTTCTTCCGCGAGAACCGACTACGTCTCCAGACAAGCATATACCGCGAATCCTGATTATAGATTCGGAGTAGTGTTTTGCTTCATCGCATCTTACCGCAACCACGCACGTACAACGCCGTCATCTCGTATTCGCCGGACAGACATTGTGCAACGTTTCTTGAGAGATTCTACATCTGAACAGCTTAACCTCCTACCTGAAGGTGGACGTTGCATCGACTCGTATATTCAAGAGGTGGTGTAACTCGATCGGATAGCCAAACTCATCCGTCACGCAGGTCGTATTATAACGGACCCGCTATCACAAGACCAAAGCATAACGCGGTCCATGAACACCCGTGTCTAGATCTCAATCGACTCTCCAGGTCAAAAATCTAGAACCGTTCTTGAATACGATCATCTGCGATATCCACGTACCCCATCCGTGCACATCCCGCGCTCACACATTAGTGAATAAGAGTGTTATTCGACAGCAACCCGGCTGCCACGCCTTGGATAATCAATCATGTCTTTACCAAACGCCCATGTCATACCAATACCCGGGTAACATTCTTACGACATCGGGCTAATATTGACGCATGAATTATGAAAATGAAGAATCGAGCTCGAAGGTAGCTGTTCTTTCGCTTGAACCCAATTACCCGCAAGACCGGCTTAGCGAATGCCTATAGCTTTGCACACTTGCATCACACGAACATTCACTACTGCCTTCCGACATCGCGTGTGGAAAGCCTCCACCCATGTGCGATGTACGACAAATTAAAAAAAGCCGTTTTCTTCATCATGCATGCACTGCGGCAAGTCAGTTCTTCTTTACGAGTGCACAGTTGGGGAATGCAATATATAATAGCCGGTACAAGCAGGTTTGGATACCTGCCTCAGGCACGCGCAGTTGCTGCCTTGCTACCACGTTTTCGTAAACAGCCTGTCGCGTGTCCTTGGTGGGGCTGCTTCATTTATTCCTGATAAGAGTGCAGAAGTATGTGGGGTTAGTTATATTACTGTGCTTAGACGAACAATATTAGGCCGGGTAGGAGAATATATAGGTTGGTAGCGAAGACACGTGGTACTAGTGCAACTGATGAGTGACCTCACAGTCAAGGGTCATTCCTGTTTGCTTGGTTCATGATGTTGAACATCTTACCTGACATGGGCCACCAAGTCAGCAGGCTTTGAATGAGTGGACGTCCCTCTTGTTGTACTCTTCTCAAGCGTGAAGAACCTACGTGACTATACTTATGGTTCTATTAATATAAGAGAGTAGTGAATATAGCTAAGTCTCTTAAAGGCGATCTACGCTTAGTGCCTGGCATCTCCCTAGCCATGTGCCATCAAACTGCTTCAGGACTCTCGTGCGTAGCAGCGTCTTCCATTTCGAGCCTCCGTTGAATTCCCTCCCACCCTTTCTTAACCACATCCGCCATGATTTTTCCCATACTGCCTTCCCGTCCTAACATTTCCACCGCTTTCTCCACACTCACCAACTCACTTTTATACGTTACTTCCAGCTCATCTACTCCTGTATTCTCGTGGTGTCTTGGCTCGTACCCTTCAGGTTCTTCCTTGATTCTCTCTCGTAAAGAAAGGTTCTGAGGATATGGCGGTGGTGGTTTGTACGCCGCGCCTGCTTCCGTCTCAAGCAGGGTTTCGAGAATTGGAGGAAGTGTCTCAGCAATGTACCAGTAGATTATATACTGCCGAGAACCGAGAGGAAGGAGCTGCATGTATACTGGCTCGGCAGTCTGTGGAGAAGCATGGATACGCGGGTGGGCTTGCGGTTGGCGGTGAGCAGTAGGTAGAGGGAGAAGGCGGTTGCGATAGCCAGACTGTTCACAGCGTTAGTATGTTTGGTCTCCAGACGAGAAAGCGGATATGACGTACCTCTTCGTACCCTTCTCTTTCGGCACCTGTGCCGCTCTCTTCGCCAGCGTCGCGCCGTCCCTTAGGGAGGAAGTAGAACTTTTGTCCGCGATACACGCAGCTGCATATCACGACTCGATTCGTGGCAAGATGGAATATTGCGACACCACCGCCAACTACGAATTGGTTGCTATCGAAGTGTGCGGTGTAGATTTCATTACTGCTTGTCGGCATCGTTGGATTTATTGGTGGTGTTGGTGAAGGTGTAGAAATGTCTGTTTTCTATGGTAAAAGGCCGCACATGAGGCTTGTGAAGCTCCTACTCAATGGGCGGGCCTCAGGTCACAGCGCTGATGTTTTGCATTAACGGGCGGTCCCTTCGCTCAGTGGCGGCCATCACTGAGGCAGCGAACACTGATGCCTAGGATAGGTGGGTCGAATTGAGGAGGAGGTATGGTGGGGCTGGTGACGTCCAGATGGACCGCAGGAACAACCCCGCAGTGCTAGCGTGCCGCTCACTCTTCCGCTTAATAATGAAGTAGAATATAAATGCTACTGATGAACCGTCTGTCAAGAAAAGTACAACTGGCCTAATGGCCCAATGGCAAGGCGCTTGACTACGATTCGTTCGATATCAAGAGATTCCAGGTTGTAAGTAAATATCCAAATCGCAGCTCGTTCGAACACAGACACTAACAATCACACAGCGACCCCTGGTTAGGTCACAACAGTTCTTTTTTGTCCTTCCATGAGCATGGGCGCTGCTTTCCTTTTTGGCCTCGTTGGCTCCTGTATTGGCTGCGTGAGGACGTTACTGGCGCCAAGTCTTTTTTTTTGTCATTATTTTTCTGCGTCTTGCTAGCCTCAATGCGACAAACGTTTCAACGAGGAAGAAAAGCTAGGCGAGAGGATAGCGCGTCACACCCCTCGAGGTTTGCTCAAGGCGACTCGTCGTGCCTCCCCATCGTTCCAAGTGCAGCCCATAGGTGGTGGAAAGCCGAAGGGCACAGGTCCCTGGACCCTGACTACGACTCAGCGTATACGATGATAGCAGTGCCGCTAATAATCTCATGCATCATCCGCAATTCTATCACTATACCCAGGGTTGAGGGGAACATGCATATCTATCATGTCGTGCTTCTTGGCGGCGAGACCTGATCAGGAAGCTGGTGATGTCCAAAGGTACCTCAAAGTCTGGGCATCTTCTTGGCCGGCCGTTGAACGACACTCCACATACTTGTTATGTACCAAGCGGCAAAACCGTCGCAATATCTCCATGGGAGGCAGCGAGATGAAGTCAAATCGTTGCATCATCATTCACTTGGCTTCGGATGCATGATAAGGTTATGGCGTGGTTTGGGTATGAGTCCGCGGGTATATAATGTCTCTAGAGAGATCATATAGAGCATCCGGTACACCAGACACCGAATAGTCAATCGTTATTCATCATGAAGTGGACCAGACTATTGTTAGGCGCTCAGTTGGCAGCAGCATCTCCCTTCCAGTCTCGGGACAGCTCTGCAACTCGTAGCGCCGAAGTCACGTATGATGGTTACCACGTTTATTCGGTTACTCCATCTTCGGTCGAAGAGGCTCGTGATATTGGCATGCGGTTTTCCAAGTATCACACTCATCCCATTCGCGATACCCTCTCCATCGCCGTCCCGCCTGGAGAGGTAGACTCCTTCAACGCCCTGGGCCTGAAAGCGCGTCTCGTCAACTCCGATCTAGGCAATTATATACGCGCTACGGAAAAGAAAGCAGTGTACAAGCGGGACTTGCACAGGCGTGGCGAACTGCCAGATCTCTCCTGGTTCGACACCTATCATCCATATGCCGACCATCTTCAATACTGGGATGACCTTGTTGAGGCATTTCCCAAAAACTCGAAGAAGTTCCCGATCGGAAAGAGCTACGAGAACCGAACAATATATGCTTTCAATTTCTATGGAGACGAAAAGGACATTCATAGAAAGCACAAAGCAGAGAAGCCAGTCATTCTCTGGCATGCTACAGTACATGCAAGGGAATGGATATCAACTATGGGTAAGAATGTACATGGCAATTACCACGGAATAACAGCTAACTATTACAGTAATTGAGTACTTGGCATATCAACTAATTGACGGCTACAAGAAAGGCGATGCCAATGTGACCACCTTCTTAGACTATTACGATTTCTACGTCGTGCCTTTCCACAATCCCGATGGCTTTCTCTACACACAAACGAATGACCGACTCTGGCGAAAGAACCGTCAGCCACGTCCGAATCTCAATACCACCTGCCTTGGGACTGACGGCAACCGCAACTGGAAGTATGAGTGGGATGCGGAGCCGCCAGAAGGTGGATCTACACCTGATCCTTGTGGCCAGACGTACCGCGGAGAATCACCGGGCGACACACCCGAGAACGAAGCAATGGATGGTCTTTCAGCTAAGCTGTCGGGAACAGGTGCCGGAATTCGTTCTTTCATCGACTTCCACTCGTACGGTCAGCTCATTCTGACTCCCTATGGCTTCTCGTGCGATCCGTTACCAGAAACCCTTCCTCGCATGCTCGAGGTTGCTGGCGGCACAGCAAATGCGATCATGGCTGCTAGCACAAAGAACAGTACTTATGAGTTCGGTCCTGGTTGCCAGATCCTTTACTTCTCGACGGGTAACTCGAGAGATCACCACTATGCTGTCCACGGCGCGAACCACTCGTGGACGATGGAGCTAAGCCCTCAAGATCAGGCTGGTGGTGGGTTCGTGCTACCACCTGATCAGATCTGGCCAGTTGTGAAGGAGCAATGGGAAGGTCAGAAGTGGCTATTGAACGATGTATGGGAGGACTAGCCGTAATGATCAGAAAACATCTTTGGGGATACACCACTATGATGTTGACAGGAGGGCAAGAACCAGCCTGAGCAGGACGTCGTAATGTCTTTGCGATCGCGATCCCACACAGCAGTTTTGGTCATACGAAGTACAATGCAAAGCCGTACTGAAAATGTTGTATTTTAGTTTGACTAAAAACACGCGTCACGCTACTACATCAACGAAAAGAAGTGTTTGAATTGAAACGATGACCTTTTCTCTTAATTTTGGTGTAGAATCGCGGGTCTTTTTGGCACCGAGCACTGCTACGCTTTCAGGTTCACATATCAGTATCTTCTACGAGAACCTGGTATTTCCTCTTATGGTACGTACCCCTATGGCGAATCCGTCGTCCTTCACATCTGAGACTCTTGAAGCTGTTTTTGTCCTTGGCATTGTAATTTGGATGGCTGTTAATGTCACATATATCTCTAGTTACTGATACCAGAGCCCAAACGTGTCCAAATTCGAGAAGTCTTCGCTAGTGGTATCCTCCGCCAGATTATCAAAGCTAAATCCGGGGTCACCCTCACCGGGAAATGCTGAGTCGCGACGTCTAGCAGAAACAACGTCTTGCCCGTACGCGCTAGTAAAGTCCGAAATGTTGGAGTCGAAGTAATCATGACCTACTCCCAGCATGAAGTTGTCAAAGATCAGCTCTGGTAACAAACACAAATTTCGACCGGTCGTGTCCATGGATATCGGCGTGGCAGCGAGATTGTCGGTGTTCTGGCCATGTGACTCACAGTGATGCTGTTGGTGCACTGGTCGACCAGTAAGTGTCCGAGCTATCTTTGAGAGCATGTTAGGTCTCCCTTCACTCGAGGTCGGTCTCTTCTTTCTTGCTTCAACTCCAGAATCCTCTCGTGTGTATCCCTTCCAGTTCGTCATTGTCAGACCGTCCTTGAAATGGCCTGCAATATGTGTCTCTCGATCTTCCCACGTCTTCAGCACCTTTTCGCAGAAACCGCAAACCCAATTCTCCACAGCGGTGTTGCCTGGTCCTTCTCGTCTCCAAAGATCGCGGATGGTCTCATCCAGTTTCGCCTTGTGGAAGTTCCTGACGTGCTGACGTAGGTGATCCGGTCGCAAGAATGTTCTTTCGTCTTCGCCCTTGGTTATACATTCGGCTATGCGGTGGCATTGTGCAAAGTGCAGATCGCTAGGGCTTGATATCATACAGAAGACACAGAGTGTGACATTATCAGACCGCGAGGGAAGTGTAATCCTTGGCCCAGAAAGCAAGCATGTCCACTTCCGTTTGGGACGATGTTGTGTTTCCTCATGGCGCCGCCAGGACTTACGTGCGATATGCTGGTAACAAAAAGTGCATTGCCAGGTCTGCTTTTCGCCATCATCATTGTTTTTGGATGCCAACAGTGATGCAGATTGGGCAACTGATCCCTGGTGCGCTGCAAGCCGAATGCTGCTAGACTGGCCATAGTCCTTTTTCTTGCCTCGTCTAGACGTGACTATACCGGTCTGGTTGGAACCTTCGGCTGGACAATAGGCTACAATAGGACCGTGATGATCAAACAATGCTTCATTTGACATCGTCGTCGATGTTACGCTCGAAAGTCTGGTTTCCCGCGAATCCTCGTCTTCCGAGGCCGGATTTGACAAACTCGTATCGATTACCCTTCTTCGCGCCCTCGCGTTAGTAAACCAAGTGTTGACCTGTTTCTCAGTGATTCCGCATTTTGTGGCTAACAAACGCTTGGTATCGTTGTCCGGGTACGGGTTGTTTCGGTTCTCCTTCAGCCACCGATGCAGACATCGCGTAGCATGCGACTCGAGTTTGGTAGGTGGTCGTCGGGCGCACGAACGCCTGACTTCCGATGGCTTGCTCACTCGAGGTTGGAATGATACTTCTGTATCCGGTGTGCATGAAGTACAATTGGTAGATTGGCCCGGGTGGATAAGTGCAGATATCTCACACGCGGAGCATCGCGCGGTGCCCTTAGACCGTGGGAGAGATTGCGAAGGAGGTTCCTCGACTGTGTCTAGTCGAATTGCTACAGGAATAGTTTCCGACTGTCCAGGAACCCGAACAATAGTCGCAGATGATGCAGAAGCTTCACTGACGCAGTCTTCGCATCTAAGGTCCTCCCCAGGATTTGTTATGTTCCAGAGCTGACATCGGAGGCAATCATGGTCGCTGTTTGGTGTCGCGAACAACGATGCATTGCTCGAGCAAACCTTGGATGTAAACACATCGAGTCTGGTGTCCTGGGGCTCAGTCGAATCGGTAATTGCTCTTGCGCGAGTCCTGTCTTCTGCAAGGCTGAAAGAGTCGCGCAAATCTAGATTTACAGGTTCTTTCTCGATCAGAGAGACCGTTTTATGGATTGAAGAGCTTCCTGTTTGGTTGACCTGAACAAAATTAGCGGCCGCGTGTTACATGGGACTATGAATGAGGTAGTACAGGGACTCCTTCGGCATCTTCCAAAGTGGCAGAGCCGTAGCCCGAGTCAACAGACCATATACTGGCAGCTTTACTTTTTGGTGTCGGAGAGAACATCATGACGAGGCGTCAACGGTATTGTCTAAATGTATAAATCGGTGTTCAGACGCTCTGTTTGTAATGCGATATTTTTGACAGTACATAGACAAAGGACCGCGAGTACAAATAACGAGGCACGTCTCACGACGACGCGCGAAGACACCCGTTCAATCTATTCTGAGATACAGGGTGTTTGTGGCTATCCTGGACGCCTAACATGCGGCACAACGGTGGCGCTGCTTCGCCATTGGTTTGACGGCCGTCTTCTGCGCTGCATGGAGGTCATGCTAGAGACCTCAGCCACACCTGAGGCTGAGGTGCATGGACTATCGCGTTTGGCGAGATTGGGGGCCAGAGCGTGATATTACCACGTCAAATTCAGTGTGTGGCGCTGGCACTGAATGGCGGTGCACGTTGGAAAGTATACTGACAGGCGGTGTGAGTCGCTCGTAATTAATGCGAAGAACTTTGGGACTGCTGTTTAACCAGCAAGACGCAAGCACGAGTAAGACTCGTTCGTGTTGACAATTACTAATACCGTACGTCATTCCGAGGGACTGACCAACCTCCCCGAAGTATGCGCTAGCACGCCTGTTATGCTCATCGCTATAGCATAAATTGCTTAGGTTCGAGCTTGCGCCCATGAACAATGGTATACAGGGTATCAGTAAGAAACAAAAATATTGGGTATTCATTTTTTCCATCTCGCCCTACCAAACAATGCCGTAATGCATATAACGCAGTTTTGCGAACAATGTGTGTAAATCGGAAAAAAAAGGAGAAGCGCTTTAAAAAAAAGCACGCCAATCCCTATTCCGACCAGCACCACCCCGTCCCATTCCATTCGTATGCAAGTGATCGTAAAGTCGTTCTAGATGTTCGTCCCTCATCGCCTCCAGCCTTAGGCAGTTTCCCCAGCAACCCCACTACCAGCACCCGCACCAGCACCCTTACACCAAGGATGTTCAAGTACCATACTGATCGTAATCCTCTTTTCCACGTCTCGATCTAGCATCAGCCGCACAAGATCGATGCTCTCTTCCGACATGACCCATGGTACGCGTAGATCGTGATCCATGATTTCGTCGATAGAGTAGAACGGGTTTTCTTTGTAGATGATTGTGTAGAGGAGTATGCCGAGCGCCCAGACGTCTTGTTCTTTACCGCGATAAGCTTTTCCAGCTAGGACTTCGGGGGCGGCGTAGTCTGGAGGTTGTTAGTACAATTATCGCAAACGGAGAAGCGGAAGAGAAACGTACCAATAGTGCCGACAAAGACGTCAAACGGCCCACTCTTGATATATGCTGCGCTTCCGAAGTCAATGAGCTTGATGTTGCCTTCACCATCGAGGACGACGTTCTCGTCTTTGATGTCCCGGTGTACGACCTTCGCTTTAGTATGCAGATGGTGCACCGCTTCTGCCACTTGGACAAAGATCTTACGGCACTCCTTCTCTTCCATGTTGACCCGCAGCTCAATATAGTCGAATAGATCCATACCTGGCAGACCGTGTGGTACCATCTCAATGTAATAGTTGATGTCGTCTTCGAAGAAATCGGCCATCTCTACGATATTGGGATGCTTGAAGCCGTCACGACGGAGGTAGTCTAGCACATGAATCTCGAGCGGCACAGTGCCTAGTCTTCGGTCTCGAGTCCATGTGTCGACTAAAATCCGCCGCTTCGTGACATACTTGATCACGACTTTCTTGCTACTGACCTTTTTGTACCGACAGAGCTTGACTTGCCCATACGCGCCTTGGCCCATGTCTTCTAACACTACAAAGTCGTTGATAGTCTTCTTCTTGGGTGGCTCTTCCTGCACAGGGACCGGTGGCGGTGCCATAGCTTTTGTTTGGGTTTGTTGCGGAGTGTTAGGTCGCATGGCTTCCTGTATTTGCTGAGTGAGGAGTGATACTGCAGGTGGCGTTCCTTGCGACTGGTGCGATTCAGGTTCTTGCGGTACCGAGAAGTTTGACTGCCCTGGTTCAGGTTGGCGCGGTGAAGGTGGTCGTGACATAAGAGGAGTCACAGGACCAATACCATGGTTTGCAGCATGCAGCTGCCTGGAGTATGTTATCCACAGAGCGTAGACCAGCTCTGGACCCTTGGTAGGTTTGGACGATCCATCTTCCTCTTCAATGACATTTTCATCGAATCGAGGAGACTTTTCGCTCTTCACTACTCGCATCTGCACATCGACCATGATTTCCGAACCGTCACGATGTAGAGCTGGCAATCCGCTTGGTCGCAGGAAGATGGCTGCCGCATCTGCACTACCCTCCCGCATTGCAAGCAGGGCACGGGCACGGCGGAAGCTGTGTTCGGGGATGACTATTCCGTCGACCAGCTCGATCTTATCTTCATCGGTCATGACATGCAGTATCTTGTCGAATGCGGGTATGAGCTTGCTCACGTGAATACCTTCGGGTCGTGGTTGTCCGAACAGAGCTGATGAAAAGACGGAATTGGAGCTTGTGATTTTGAGATCGTCGGAAGATAAAACGATGATGCCCGCGATGTGTGGGAAACTAGAGATGCGGAAAGTGGGTTCGCCTGGCATCGCCTCCACGGTTACTGGTATATTGATGCTGTTTGAAGTCCGCGCGGTGTAGCTGCGAAACTCGTCGATCGACTCGTAGTCTAGCGCCCCAGTGTTTGTTCCTCGGAGTCGTGGTATGCCTGGTATGAGTCGCTTGAGATCCATTCCCCTCCGTAACCGATCGCTCCCAAAGACAGCTTCTGTTGCGCCCCAGCCCTTGGATACGCAGCCTACGTCGTCGACCGTGATATATACGACATCTTCCGCAATCTCTTCAAGCACCCAGATGAGACTACCCCGCTTCTCTTTGACCCACAAGCTGGCAGAACCAGTTGAGCCATTACGCTTCTGGATCGGAATGACATCTCCACAAAGTAAAACACCTCTTGAGCCCTTATGTTCATGATTCAGCTTGCCTGTCTTCTTCGCATTGTAGTACGAGGATCCACTGCCATCGTCTGTCTGTGCTTTCCTCGCGGCTATCACGCGCGATGGAGCCTTGCTCAGTAACCGTGCAGTAACACCGCTGCCGACTTTCAGGTTGTTAGTTGCAGGAGATGCTCCGGACAGTGCATTCTTAGAGCCAACCTCGGGATCTCTGAGCTTGCTTTCGAGCCACTTTCTACGGTCTTCTCGCACGACTTCCAGTATCCCCAGCTTGCGGACCTCAGCCCTCGTCACACCGAATACAAGGCATGCCAAGTCGTTTGCAGATGTAATGGTCCATGGCGTATCTGTTTCGGTGGTGAAGATGGCTTGTGCTGCTGGAGCGTGTCGGCTTCCATGTCCATGTGGTGCTGATCCCGCGGAATGAGGCCCTGGTGCATTGCTAAAACTCGGCGGCAGAGTTGGGATAATGGTAGGGGATACGAGGTCGCTGATCTTCTCTTGGTCTCCCACCCGGTATGGCTGCGCTAGTGCATCGTGGAGTTGGCTCTGGATCGTAAGAGGCGCAACATCGGTCAGAGTTCGTTTGAGCGCAGCTCTTTGGGGGCGTGCAGGTTGCGAAGGTGGTGGAGGCGGAGAAGCTGCCGCTGCTCGTGTGCTCAACGCGTTGGGGGCGATTTCGGTACCCGGTGAGACTCCTTCTTGGCGAGCTTCTGGTGTACTGCTGGTGTCGATGACATCGGTCGTAGTCACTCTGTGTACTGGTGGTCTCGCAGCCTCAAGCATGCTCTCGGGGCTCGCTGATCGATCAACTGTGAAACCCTTCTCGAATGGGTTCTCGCCAGACATGTCCGCCGGCCCTGTTACGGGACCCAGCGCACCCAGTCCATGGGCTCCCGTGCCGTCTTGGCCTATGAGGTTTGCTCTTGTAAGCAGCTCCATCATACTCTGCACCTCCTGATCGCCGCTGAGTTTTGCCTGGGCGTTTGCTATTCCAGGATTTGTCGCGGCCCAGCCCAGCCTGTCGCGCATAAACTCGATGGACCGCTTCAGCACATTTTGGCGGTTGTGTATAAACTCTTCTGATTGCGTCGCAAAAGAAAACGAGTGTAGAGACTCGGAGGGAAAGCGAGTGAGATCCTCACCAAAAGCAAAGGTCGGTGATGCGGGGGCGGTGGGCGCAGACTCGGAAGGATGTCTCGATACTGGTGGCGTGGAAATGTTCAGCGAAGCAGCTCGTTGGGTCGACTGCAGCTGTCTCGGGCCTGGCTGTTGGCGGATGCGACGGAGGCCTGAGGATCCCAGACCGTGTTCATGCTCGGACACGATGGGCGACCTGGTGCAATGTGTGTCAGCCATGACCCACAACGCAAAGAGTGCTCCTTCCTGACCAGCGTCCTTGCACGGCCGCCTATCTCGACGTTCCACTCACCTTGCCATGCGGTCCAGCTGCCCTGCATCGATGCTCAGGCGCTTGGCCGTGTCGATGGGTGGCGGCGGCCCCGTTCGCCAGTTCAGCAGGCTCGAGGTGCTTTTCGTCTTGACCAGCGGGGCATATTCGGAGAGGTGCTGTGACTGTGCGAAGGAGTTGAAGGGTGCTTCTTCTGGTAGAGAGCCTGGCGGGGTGAGGACGTCAGCTAACAAGTCCATATGGAGCACGAGTATGCAATGGCTAGTGGCGAGCGAGGTAGTGGCAGCGGTACAGAGCAAGTTGTAAGTATTGGGGTCGGGTGTCTATTGTGTACCGTAGTCCAGGTGAGTGCAGTGGCTCGGTCCAGCTCCTCTCTCAGAGCATACATGTCTCGCAGTGTTGTGGGCGGTCAAGCTTACAAAGCTCACCATGGGCTCTTGGTGACACAAGTCGTCGAGGCAGTCGTGGGCGTCACGACGTGAGGCGGAGGGTCATTTGACGTACCATGATCATTTGGCCTGCTCATTCCCTGAGGCGTACGAGCGCCTGTTCCCAGGCTTGGGCAATTGTCTCGGCTCGGTAAGATCAGAAGCAGCGAACAACGACGAGATGACTAGCCCTTGGTCTACAGGTACACAGCTTGATGTGTACTGACCCGTGTGTCGCGTTTGGGGTGGCTGTATCGCTTCTGGGGTACGGCTGGATGATGCGCGGGCGGGTGGTGCAAAGGCTTTGGTGGGGGCTGCAGGGTTGCTGAGGGCTGGAGTCGGATATCACCTGCAACGGGTACGGCTGTTCAGTAAGAGATGCGATGCGATGCGTGGGGCAGACCAGACGCAAGAGATGGGCAGTAGGCGTGCACAGTGAATGGCATGTAGTTACGTCGCGGACACTATGCGACTTGAGACGCCAACGGCGTTATTTGCATTGCGCCCACGCTGGCCCCGCGACAAGCACAGACGATCCACCCGCCGTCGACGCTATCAGATCAGATCTACCAGACCGCCTGGGCCGGGACACCACCAGAGTCCTACATCATAACACGCTAGACGGCGAGGTTGCACAATAAAGTAAAGATGCGTACCATGCCTGGGACATACGCTGCTTCTGGCTGAGCATCCACTTGTGTCGCACCAGCGTCCGCACCCGGCCTTGGCTTCGTCCGTCCGGCAAGCCTCCGCTAGCCTTTGCTCTGACATGTGCTGCTCTGCCGCGCCATCCATCATCTGGCGAGCAGGGTGAACGTCCCGCCAATCTAACCGATGTCCATGTCGTCATACTATGTCCATAGGCATCTGGTATACCGCTGTTTCTCCAGCACCACCATGTACTGTGAGTATGGAAGTAACAGATGTCAGACGCTCAATGGAGGCATTTGAATTCTCTGCTCGTCATGCAGAAAATCGTGCATGCTGCGACCACCGTGATTAGCTCCGCATACCCCGGAAAATGCCATTGGTTGAACATGGCTCCTGCGCATGCCGTGTGCCGACCCATGCACCAAATCTGGACATCTGGGGAGGCTTCGAGCCATCAGTGTTGTCGAAGAGTGTCTTTGTGCTGGTTCCAGAAATTCCTGCAGCCTAATTCTACAGTCAGCAATTGCCTTCATCATAGCGTCCTGATAAGCATACCTCGATGCATGTTGACCTGGTCTATCCACCACTCGCCAAAGCTGTCGTCTGTCGCCATATCGGCTGCCGTCACTCTTTCCTCCCGTTTGAGCCCGCATAGCATACAAGCTTGGCGCGCTGGTATGCCGCCTTCAGACTGCTTCAATGTCTTTACCGGCATTGTCTCTTGCAAGTCTGGCCCACGATCCAAAGAACCAGCTTTGATCTGATTTGCTCCGGATACGACGTGTCGCAGTCGCCCAACCTGCTCTTTCCAACTTCTCACCACATCTGAGACCTCTCGCTCTTCCTTCATGTTCTCGCCCTTGTCGATACCTGTCAACTTCATCCCGGAAGTTGCTCGTGACGACGCAGGGCCTATTCGCATGCCTTGGGACAGGTGTTGGTCTCGCTTCCAGCGCAATTTACGGCCAGCTATGATGTGTGCCGCAACATTCCCAAGGATTATGTAGCCTTGAAGGTATGCGATTGTTGTGGGCTCGGCCAGTAACTTATTTCTCATGGGTAGGGGTTGCGCTGCCATGGGCTTGAACAACTTCTCATTTGCTTCCGCAAATAGAGAAGGGAAAAGTGATAACAACATACCGGGCGGCGGCACGTTAGTAGGTGGTAGTTCACTGGGCTGTGGATCTGGTATTGTAGAGGAAAGTATTGGAGCTGGCGTAGTGGGTAATGCAGCACTCGTGGTCGACTGCATGGTTCCGGATTTGCTCGGTGCTTTCGTAGGAATAGAAGCCTCCCAATCATCGAATTCATCCCATCCGTCATCTTCTTTCTGTGCCGGTGGTGCGGGTGTTGGGACCGGTCGTTCTCGTCTAGTAGAAGCACCGAATCCGATCTTAGATTTCTTACTCGTGGCCATTTGGCCCTCGAAAATCTGACTTGCGTTGACAGAATTTACACCCCTCGAGACAGGTGGTCGAGACTGTGATATGCTCATATCCCCTAATAGGTCCACGAGTGCTGGGGATGATGCAACAGGTGCTGTAGAAGGCGCTTTATTTTCCTGTTCGCCCTCAAAATCGCCAAAGTCGTCATCATCATCGAAATCATCCTCTGCATCGAACAGTACGCTTGGGTCCACAGACTTCTTGGCCTTCACAATAGGTGCTCGCTGCCAAGTTTGCTGTGTCGGCTCGCAGGACGATTGCGATTCGGATACAAAGGCGTCATTTGTAACTGAGCCCACGTTCCAGGCATTCGATGGTGGTTGGGGGACCGGAGGCGATGTGAATGCGAACAGATCTTGCTTGGCGGCAGGAGCGGGTTCCGTAGATGTGCCGCCCTCGAAATCACCCCAGTCGTCGTTGTCTTCAGCTGTAGATTCTTGAATGAACCTGGAAACAAAGTTCTCATTATTGCCCACGGGCGGAGGTTGCTGCGACGACGATGCTGGGATTGGGGTGTTGGTCAGGCTGTTGAAGAAGCTGAATTCTGACGGAGCAGGTGGAGCGGTAGTCGCCTGCGTGTTAACGGGCCGCGACTGCTGTTGATCCGAGGGGGAGTCGGCTCCAAATTCTGCGAAAAGATCCGCTGACATTGCTCGTACAAAGGGATGAAAATGTAACGTTGTAGAGCGGCGCTGGCCTGCACGTGCATGTGGTTGGTGAGTACACGCCAGCGCTAAAGTCGAAAGAGTGGGCCGGTCTCGAAGCCAAAGCCACAACAATTGCCAGCTTCTTCACATCTGATACAATACCGGATGAGCTTAATGAAGCATGATGAACTCTTGTTCGGTGTAAAGAATATCGCAGCAATGGACGCTCGCAGTGCTCCTTGGCAACTTTCACGCAAACAAAAGAATCCAAAACCGATCCTCTTTAATGACGAACCGGAAACCCTCAGTTTGTAGCACAAGCATTTTACCAGCATTACAACCGTGAACGTCTTAGAGCTGAGCACCTGAAGTAGTCTGATGTGCACAGTTAGTTGCCTTCCTGGATCCAACACTCTAATTAAAAGAAAACTAAACAGGTATAGAGATCACGAGCTTTACATTGCAGCGTACATTAGCTCTTAACGCGCTTTGTTGTAGTAAGAAGAGATACTCTACTCTAAAGGGATGTTAGTTTCTCTCTTTGATGTAGTGTAAGTACAGCACGACCGACATCACATAAGAGCACGACGCATGGTGAGACATTTGTCGCCATCTTTGATAAGACCTCGACGACCAAAGTACTGCTGGTGATAGGCACACCATACAGAGCGATGTGATAGACAACACGAGGAAGAAGTAGAAACACCATCAACAGTAACCAGTCACGCATGTCAGAAGAGAGGTTTTTGTTCATATCCCACCCATGTTTTCATTCATATCATTATGGAAACTATGGAAGGACGACGCCAGGACCCCAGACCGTTATGCATGACACGTTTCAAAAGTCATCACAGCTTTTCCGAAGCAACCACATCCCCAGAACCAGGTATCTAGAGACGAAAGAAGAGAAACAAGCAACCCAAGAAGAGAGCGCTTATTTCTTGGAAGCCTTTTGGGCGGCCTTGGTGACCTTGCCGGCCTTGTCGGCCTTGGCGACGGACTTGATGACACCGACAGCAACGGTCTGACGCATGTCACGGACAGCGAAACGACCGAGAGGAGGGTAGTCAGTGAAAGCCTCAACGCACATGGGCTTGGAGGGAACCATCTTGACGATGGCGGCGTCACCGGACTTGATGAACTTGGGAGAGTTCTCAACAGACTTTCCGGTACGGCGGTCAATCTTCTCGAGGAGCTCAGAGAACTTGCAAGCAATGTGGGCGGTGTGGCAGTCGAGGACTGGGGCGTAACCAGCACCGACCTGACCAGGGTGGTTGAGGACGATGACCTGGGCGTTGAAGGACTCGGCACCCTTGGGGGGGTCGTTCTTGGAGTCACCGGCAACGTTACCACGACGGATCTCCTTGACGGAGACGTTCTTGACGTTGAAGCCGACGTTGTCACCGGGGACACCCTCGGTGAGCTGCTCGTGGTGCATCTCGACGGACTTGACTTCAGTGGTGACACCAGCGGGGGCGAAGGTGACGACCATACCGGCCTTGATGATACCGGTCTCGACACGACCGACGGGCACCGTGCCAATACCACCAATCTTGTAAACATCCTGGAGGGGAAGACGGAGGGGCTTGTCGGTGGGACGGCTGGGAGGGTCGATGGCGTCGATGGCCTCGAGGAGGGTCTTACCAGTGGCCTTGGCCTTGGTCTCCTTCTCCCAACCCTTGTACCAGGGGCAGTTGGATGAGGCCTCAATCATGTTGTCACCGTTGAAACCGGAGATGGGGACGAAGGGAACGTGCTTGGGGTTGTAGCCGACCTTCTTGATGAAGTTGGAGGTCTCCTTGATGATCTCCTGGTAACGCTCCTCGGACCACTTGGTGGTGTCCATCTTGTTGATGGCAACGATGAGCTGCTTGACACCGAGGGTGTAAGCGAGGAGAGCGTGCTCACGAGTCTGGCCATCCTTGGAGATACCAGCCTCGAACTCACCAGTACCGGCGGCAATGATGAGAATAGCGCAGTCGGCCTGGGAGGTACCAGTGATCATGTTCTTGATGAAATCACGGTGACCGGGGGCGTCAACTAAGTAGATGGTTAGTGATTGAAGGTCGTCATGATCAGTTTCGCTGCTGAGTGAATGTTGCGGTTGCTGAATTAGTTGTTGCTGATGCTGAGCTTGAAGTTGCTCTTGCTCTTGCTCTTCCTTCTCTCTGGCCTTCATGATCTTGCGAGCATCTGCAGGCTTGACCTTGTAGCCCAATCTCGCTGACTCTTGATGAGATATGGATTTGAAGTGGGTATTGAGATGTGCATTGCACGAGGCGTTGAAGTCACAGACCTGACATCGAAAGCGCTGGAGGTCTTTCGCCTTCTTCTTGACATCGGCGGCGATCTGATTCACACGACCTGGGTTGCGTTCGCTCCAAGTCTTGTGTTGCTCATGACCAGTTTTCCTGAACTTGACCTCATCCTCCTCGCGCTTCCTCTTCCGGTAGCGTTGAGTCTTAGCTGCATCGCGCTTGAGTTGGAGTTCCCTGGCATGGACAAGCTCTTCCTTGGTCAGAGAAAGATCAGCTCGGACACTCTCTGAAAGTGAGAGGTGAGTGCATCCGGGATTCCAGCTGATGCTTTCTCGAGACCAGAGAAAGAAGTCGGGGATGTAGACTTTGTCCATGATCATCGGGATGCAGGCGCAGAAGATGACAGCGAATACAGATTCCAAGGCGAGGAAGCGGGCTCGAGTGCGAGGAACCAGCTGAGTTGATGGTAGCTTGGTCCAGATGAGCATACCAAAACTCAAGAAATAGCCCTGTTCTAGGGCTATTTTGATGAGCTTGGGTATGCAGCCCTTACCAGAGGAGTAGTTGGTCTCGCGCTTAGCAACCCCATCTTGTGCATGAGTTCCTGAACCAATGTACATGATGGGCGGTAGATCAGGATGCGTGGCGATGAGAGCATACACACCCCACTTCCTGGGGCCGTCTGACTTGGGAAGGTTGAGGAAGTAGCCGATGTCTGGAGGGGTAGGCGACGAGAGCACCTGAGCTAACCCAGGAGCGACAGAGAGAGGAGCTTGTCTGGCGTTGGAATCCCACTCAGAGCTCGATGCAAATGCGAACTTGATCTCTGAGTTGATGAACCAAGAGGGTAGGTCAAGCTGAATCAGGCGAAACCCAGCAGCATCAATGTGAGCTTCGACGGAACCAAGGCTTGGGTTGTAGAGTTCCTCCATGCTGAGTGTCGTGAAGAGGGAGAAAGACAAAGAGCGGAGAGGATGCAGAGGATGTGCAGCCAACGGAGGTGTGATGTTGGGACTCACACCAGACAGTGAGACCATATCCAGGGAAAGTGCCGCCAGATCCTGAGGCGGCAGCATGATGCTGGAAGGAACGTCTTGCACAAGACCGCAAGAACGAACCCAGCAAGAGCAAGAGCAACAGCGAGCTCAGCAAGAGCAACAGCAACATGATAGAAGGGGATACATGATGGAATGTTATACATGATGAGTGGGGATACAAAGAGAAGGTGTGAACATACTAACGGTGACATAGTACTGAGTACAACATGTTAGCATTGTAAAGAACTTGATGTAGTAGGCAGAGGGGTACTAACCTTGGGAGTCTCGAACTTCCAGAGAGCAATGTCGATGGTGATACCACGCTCACGCTCGGCCTTCAACTTGTCGAGGACCCATGCGTACTTGAAGGAACCCTTACCGAGTTCGGCGGCTTCCTGTGAGGCTTGTTAGCTCGCTGTGGCCAGAATGGGGAAATTACATGTGCGTCATTGCGTTGGAGTTCGCGAAGGCCGCATGCGGACTAGCGCTAGCGCGTAAAAGTTCGCACATCCCCACCACCCAAAAATGCCCCTCATCGCGATAAGCCAGGCTTTGGCTACGCGCTCAGAGAAAGCACCGGGTGGGCGCAACAGGCCGCGTGAAAGAAAAGTGATGCCATACCTTCTCGAACTTCTCGATGGTACGCTTGTCAATACCACCGCACTTGTAGATCAAGTCTGTATCCCAGTGTAAGTTGTTTGACCCCGCAGTCGTTCGGAGAGGGAGGGCTTACGGCCGGTGGTGGTGGACTTTCCGGAATCGACGTGGCCGATAACGACCACGTTGATGTGCATCTTCTCCTTACTGCAGCCATTGTTAGCGAGGTGTGCCAAGGGTGGTTGTGGCAGCCTCGAGCTCTTCCAGTGGGCAAATGTCGAGGCTCCACTGGTTCGAGGCGGAAGGCAGGCAGAGTCACTTACCCCATGTTGGCGGTGTTGTGTTGTTTGAGGTTATGTGGTGGTGAGGGGAAGTTGTTTGATACTCAGATTTACAGCGCGCGGTGTAAGGTATGAGTTGGACGGAGAAGAAAAGTTGAGTGATGGAGGGGTCGGGTGCTAATATACCTGGAGGGCTGTGGGTCTGTGCTAGTTTTAGGCGCTAGTTCCCCGTTGGGCTACGAAAACTCCTTCACTTGCAACGAATTCAACTGCGAGAGAGGCAAAACGGGTCCCTTTAATTGGCCCACATGCCATGGAGCCCTTCCACCCGCCTTGACCGCCTGCTATAGCCTTGCCACAGCCGCAGTTGCCTCACGCGAGTCTTTGGGACCATCGTCATTGTTTGCCCATCAGCCCTTTTTTCGTACCCGCGTCACCTACGCGCTACAGCTTTTGCTTTTGCACAATGCTCGATTGTTACCTTCACGGCCGATTTGTCTTATCCTGGAGACTGACCCGGCATGCAGTCATCGCGCTGAAACAGTCCCGGCGTCACCTTTGCCGCACTGCAAACTTTTGGCGGGGTACTGAGATTGCCATCATAATCTGTACCCAGCCCCACTGCAAGCGGAGTCTATAGTGGCCTCGTCGATGGTACTATCCAGATCATGCACAACACCGTGTCCATTTCTTACGTTCCGCTGCTAGCCACTGATTCCATCGACCTTACCGTCACCTTGGGCATTGCTGCTTATGGAGCCATAAATGGGCCCTCGTTGACTCATTAAGCGCTGCCACAGACGCCCACCATCTTTCCGCCCAACTATCGTGGGACAATCCTTGGAACCGCTCATATGCCGCCCTTTACCGACGTGGAACCTGGAGTGGCAACCTACATTGACGCTGACTTCACTAAGCATGCACCTCATACAAGGAAAAAACTAGACAGATACAGAAATAATAAGGTACATTTTACAGTCTACATTATCTCTCAATAAGAAAACTTATAAGGATTTACAGCATTGTAGTCTTCTAGGTTTCTTATTTATATCTACATAGATCTAATACGCTTTATTGTACTAGGAAGAAGTACTCTGCCCTAAGAGGTGTTTAGTTTCTTTCCTTAATGTAGTGATAGCGGCTGAAAGAAAAATTGTTCCAGGATGGAGATCTACTCGCTCGAAACCCAACCGTTATCGCCATCGCGACGCAGCGCAAGCTTTCCACTTTCACTCCGGGGAACGCTGGGCTTGCAGAGCTTCATCAAGCTTTTACCACCAAGGCAACACCGTTTCGCCCATCTACACAGGCTATGTGCATCACAAAAATCTGAACCTCTGGAGCAAATCTCACATTCGAGCTTGTCTTCTTCCATCTGTTGCCCTGCCTGATCTACCGCAGTGAAGGTTGTCAGATGCCAACTCGGTAGCGCAGGTATACGGTTCGTTTTGTTTAAGCTAAGGCCTGGGAGCCATCGAAGAGCTAATACTACGATATCCTTCAGGCAGAGACTTGCCTAGCCAACCTCAAGCTGCAATCTTCCGTCAAGCATACAATCTATGTATTACCGATGAATCAACCTAGCCGTATAATGAACCCCTTCGTTGGCTACACGTCGTTCACAGTCATATAAAGGTTGCGAGAGAATTGCTTCTTGGTGAGAGTGATCGAAGAGGCTTGCGGCAACGCCACATTGATGCGCACAAGATATTCGTTGGATTATCAGAAAGATGAAGGCCAGCGCCTGGGCTTGATACCTCACTGCGCAGACGATTATACTTGGCTCCTGGTAACACCACCTCATGAGTTGCTTCCCTTTCTGAGGCTTCAGAGGTACCAGGATGGCTATCAGCATGACGGTCATCATGTATTTTTTGAAAAGGGTGTGTCCGCTTTCAAGGACAAGCGATGGTACTGAGATGTTCGCATCACACGTCTGGTTGCCCTTACGTTCCCTCACGCTAAACAACTTTAGCAATGTATTCTCTCTCTCTGACGAGTTCTCGATAGAAGCATTCAAGTGCTGTCTACATCCTTCTGTTACAGAGAACATGGATTTTGCATTCCATCGTCATCGAGACTTCACTCTCGATCGGAGCTCACCTTTCGCTTTTGTAGAAAAAAAGGCTTTTGAGTCATGCTAAATAGAGTACATTATCATACCCAAATATTCTGTGATTGAGATTGTTCATGCGACTGGAGAACAGTACCGCTTAGCGGCAGTTATCGTAGACTGTTGATGACGACGGTCTTCAGGAGTACAACAATCGGCTAGGTATTGCATGAACCATGCTAGCTTGGCACAAGGGAATGCGAGGATTACATCAGAAAGCCTATACCACTCTTTGAATACCTAAGTAAGTAATTGTACAACTTAAAATGGGTAACAAGCGTCTTCGCACACTGAAAGGTGGTGAGGTCCCGAACTAGGCCGGAAGAGTCTACCAGAAAAAGGAGATGACTACGTTGTAGCTCGACTGCCTTGTTGGGTTGACGGTATATAGTGGTGAGATAATTCGTAGTAGCGAAGGGTGATTGTAAATGTCTGGTCGACTCAATTGTTATACCCTGTCATTCTTAGCGCAGCCTGCCTCGCTTGCATGGTGCGCGGGCATCTAGCCAGAAACCAAACAGCTGCCCCTCCAGAAAACAGCACCGGGTCTCCTGTGCGACTACACTTGCTCTATTTCCTCCGCATACCCACTCGATGACTGCACCTACACACCTCGATCCCAGCGAGCTGGGAACCAAATCCTACTGGGACGCGGCCTATAGCACCGAGCGCCAAAACTTCGCCGCGAACGCAGAGGACGAAGGAACGATATGGTTCAGCGACGCGGGTGCCGAGGAGCGCATGTTATCTTTTCTTGAGGATCTCGGCGATGAAGGCCACGTACACAAAGAAGGCGATGAGGGCGACAAGAAAGCTGCACGATTCTTAGACCTGGGAACAGGGAATGGGCATCTACTGTTTGCGCTGCGGGAAGACGAGTGGAACGGCGAGATGGTGGGGGTTGATTACTCTGCGCAGAGCGTTACGCTTGCGACGTCAATCCGCGATGCGAAAGATGCTTCTTACAAGGACATTGCGTTTCATGAGTGGGATATCCTGTCGCAGCCACCGGGCGCATGGTTGGGCTCTGGCTTCGACGTTGTACTGGACAAAGGAACGTTTGATGCTATATGCTTGTCACAAGAAGAAGACGCTCAAGGTCGCAGGATCTGCGAGGGATACAGGGAAAAGGTCGAGCCCCTCACGAAGAAGGGCGGCCGATTTCTCATAACGAGCTGTAATTGGACAGAAGAGGAGCTCAAGGGCTGGTTTGGAGGAGGAGAGTTTGAGTTTGAGGGAAAAGTCAAGTACCCCAGCTTTACCTTCGGAGGCAAGACAGGCAGCAGTGTTGTTACGCTCTGCTTCAAGAGGACGTGATTCCGCGCTTCTTTGCTGGGAGGAAAGGTTCCTACCGCTACTATTGCTACGGTCGAACAGCCCGCCGTATCCGCGCGAAAACGAGCCACTTCTTCCGCTCGCCCATGTTCTCCAAACCACCATCGCGCTCCTTGGCCCACGACCGCCGCTGTCCGTTCACATCCATCTCGTATATTTCCTCTACCTCGAGCCCTTGCTCCGGCACCACTTCTTCGAAGAAGGGCGCGACTTTGGCGCGGCCCGTGTGAAAGCCTGCGATACAGTATATACGTGCAGATGGTTCGTTGGAGAGGAAATGCAGCATCGATTGGGCGAGGCTTTGGTGCTCCCATGGCATCCAGAGACAATCGGCTGCGAGGATGCGCGTGTAGTGGTGTGCGTGTGAAGTTTCAAAGGGGGTGCTTGTAGAGCCCCATTGATGGCCTTGGACGGTCACATTGGGCTTCAACAGCTCTGGGACGTTCTTGGCGACGTTGGCTTGGAGGGTATCGAGGATGGGAGCGGCCGGGTAGTCGGTGATGGCAATCTATCAAGCTGTTAGTCCAATGATGCGGGTGGTCCGGGTAGGGGCATACCTCTTTCGCGCCTGCCAGTGTACTAAGAATGCCGCCTAGCCCTACGCCTGCGAGCAAGTGTTCCATCAGTACTCTCTTCTTCACCTATCTTTCCGGCCCAACCCACCTGCGCCCAACTCCAAGACCGTCTCGCCCTCCACACTCCACTTCTTCTCCTCTTCTTTGTCTGTCCACCACTCGCCGTCTCTCCAGCCCTCTTCATCTTGGAGCAGACCCTTGCCGCTTGCGCCCAAGTCTCCACCCTCAACCCGCCCACTGACCAGCTCTGCCATCATAACGCCAGCATTCCACAGGTAATGCGCAAACTTTCGTCTCTGCTCCTCGCCATTGACATCGGCCACTCTCAACTCCAGCTCCCCGAACTTGGCGTTGCGATACAAGATGACCGTGTTTGGATCGTCGCCATGCTGGTTTTGCGTGTCGTCGGTGAAGATGCCGCCGAGGGAGGAGCCAAAGATGTCTTCTGGCTCGAGAGGCGTGTTGCTTGGGCGGCGGAGGTTTATCAGCGACGGCAGTAACATTCCGAGGGCGGACGTGAGTGTAGATGGAAGGAATACGGTGGGCGTCGGCTGGGGATTCGTTGAGACAAGCCGAAAGTGATGGATGGCCGCACGACGCAATGATGCGCTATGGAAGGACTCGCGAAATCTTTAGCGGGGCATGTGTGCTAGGCTGTACGTGGCATGGCTCGCGGGTAGCATGCAGGGACCCAACGCGTCGTCAGACAGGTCGTGAGATCATCATTTGCCGAGGCTGCTGCTGCTCGTGGCGCTCGTTTGAAACTGTGACTTTGCTCCTCCCTTCTATTGTCAGCTTGCTTCTGGTCGATACCATACTGCCAGCTCCCGACAACAAGACTGACTACAACACGTAACCGCTACCATGTCATTCTCGTCGTTCAAGAATCCGGCGACGTACCATTTGCTCAGGTATAACAACTGCACCTTGCAAGCTCAAAACCAGGCACGTCTGATAACAGAGCTACAGCTATGGCACCCTCCTCGGCTCAACCCTCTTCCAGTCCTTCGTCTCAGGCATCGTAGCCTTCCGCGTCCTCCCGCGTCCCCAATTCTCCACACTTCAGAAGCACACTTTCCCTGTATACTTTACGCTCCAAACTCTTACTCCCGTTGTAATGCTGCTCACCTATCCGCGTGGTGGTGCACCCTCCCTGCTTCCATTCCTCTCTTCGTCTCCCATGCCACCGACTGCAACCGACAATCTGAGTTCCTGGCTACATACTACCATGTTCCTCACGGCGCTGGTGAACTGGGTGTACATTGGGCCCAAGACGACCGAGGTCATGGGTCTGAGGAAACATCAGGAGACCAGGGATGGGAAGAAGAGCTATGATGCCGGGCCACACAGCAAGGAGATGCAGGCCTTGAACAAGCAGTTTGGCATCTTGCACGGCGTCAGCAGTTTGGTCAACATGGTGGGCTTGGGGGCTATGATCTGGTATGGTGCGGTACTAGCTGAGGGACTGAGTTTGTAAGGTATGAACAAGGTGTGAAGAGCATGTATGTATTGGGCGAAAGAACTTCGTCGAGTGCGAAAGCGCCATGGCCGACAAGCACGTTTGGCCGTCTTGTTGTACATTCAATATTGAACACACAGCATGTTCACTGTATCCTGCTACAAACGCCTATGCCTTGACAGTAGCTAGTCGATTTCTCTTCTTTGTACTTGCGCAACTCCATGTTCTGACCTGACCCGACATACTGTATCATGGCAATTACACTACAAGAACGTCAATCATCCAAGTCGTCGAATGCTCACACTAAAGGTTACTCGAGGACGCAACGAAACGCGACAAATGATGATAGGGGAGTGCAGTATCGACAGCTTGTCTCTCGCGCTGTAACACAGCGTTTGCATTCGCCATCTCTTGACGACCTTACGAAGACAGATGTGGCTAACAAACTTGCGCATCCGTTGAAGACATGGGAGACACAAGAGCGCTCCATTGCACGAGACAAGGCTCGAATCGAGGCCAAAATGCTGGATATACCATGGAGTAAGACCACTTTTCCTCTTACATGTATTCCTACACTTCACACCGATTCCGACATGCAGATAGAGCTGACAGATGATAGGAAAGTTTATCCGCGATGTAGAGAGCGCTACCCTTGAAGTCCATGTCCTCACGCCAACACGATACGAAGCACCCTGCGGGGACAGGATCAAGAACCAAGAAGCGAGCACGAGAAACGAAGGAGTTTTATACAAATTCGGCGCTTTGAAGGATATGGATGAGGACAAAGAGTGGAAGAAAAAAGACGCGGCTATTTACAACGTGCTCAAAGCTTTTCAGGGAGGACGGTGTCGCGACTGAGGGCTTCCGATCCTAGCATCCGTCGGTAATTGTTGGTGTTAGTGGAGTGTATCGACGATATAGACTATGCCAGAATCCTTCAAGTGTAGATCGAATCCGAAAATTGGTTTCATCTCACCCGAAGTCCTGGATCGAACTTACTGTATGGACATAGCTGGCTACCTGCATCAAGTGACATGAGCAAGCCAGTCATCTAATTTACTCCAGTCGATGGGGTCCAATGCCATATCGTCGACGATATAGTCCGCAGCTAAGAAGGTGTCCAACCCATCCATCTCCATGATATCAAAACCTGAACCGTCAAAGTCGTTGGAGAACGTGGAAGGATTGGTACCATCAAAGACAGTATGAGGATGACCAGATGGCGTTTGGATTGGATTGGGTGTCGAATCCAGTAAGAGATCAGAGTCATCAACTGGGATACTGCCGCCAAGCTGACGCGTATTACTTTTGACTGTATCAGTAGAGGTAGCAACATGACTGCTATTCGCATCGCGTTTCTGCCGTCTCAGTCTTGCACAATCGCGTTGGTGACGTAGACGTGCTATAAAACTGGGTACCGACGATATGACTACATCTCTTGAACGAAGTAGCGCCTCCCGATCGCCATATGCCTTCAAGCATAGATGGCCCACAGCAGCATGAACGGGTTTTCTCATGTCCTCAATCATATCTGGATTGTTGTCGTAGGTTTCACCGATGAGTCTCCAAGCCCGTTCAACATCAAAAACCTCAGGATCGGCCCGGAGAACGTCCAATACGTGAATGAAAGCGTGCCATTGCCGATACCAGGGCGTGTTCCATGCAAACCGTTGGGTAAAGGGGTTAGTCTGTAACATCACTTGTTGTTCGAGAAGTTTAAGACAAACTTCCCATATCTTCTGGCGTTCCTCAAGCGGTGTTTGCTCGATACTACCCCAGCTCCGTGGATGATACATCAAGAACCGGGCTACGTTCAGGCCATATCGAGCAACTAGCATCGTGACAAGGTCCAAAGGCTGAGAGGGATCACAGTAACGAAGATGTTTCGTTTCGATAGCCTCTTGGAGCTCTTGAATCTTACTCTCGCGGTCCTTTTTGTCTTTTCCCGAATGGTCAAGGTTCATCTGGCTAAGGTCTTTTCCTTCTTGTCGAAGGGCTGCGATACGTGCGGCAGCGAACTTTCCCATCTCACACCTTGTCACGATGAAAACAGCGTCCGTCAGTCGATCCGATTGTAGGGGTAGTTCAGTCATACTGGGATACAACTGATCATCGTTGACATTGAGAGGCCACTCAGCTCGGTGGGGACCGACATCAGGATCTCGGTATTTCGAAAGGCCACACAACTCCGTAGCCCGAGAATCATGAGTCTTCAACTGATACCATATACGCCGGCGAATCTCGGTTTCGAAGGGAGATAGTCCTAGATACTTTCCGTCGCGCTCTAGACCCATGCCTTGAGCGATGCGAACAGCTGCACCAGTAAGGGTCCAGTTGGCGCGTGGTGTGTAGATGTCGCGGGTTGTAATGAGATGTATGACTAAAGCCTGGAGAACACCTATACTGGTAGTCTCCATCACCTTTGCTCGCGATAATGCCGTTTCTGTCGCGGAGATGTATTGAGAAAGCAGACGCTCACGGGGCTCAGTGAACCGTTGCTCGCATTCGTTTCGGCTTAACGACATGACAGCGGAGCCATATATAGCAAACATGAGTGCTTCGAGTGCCCGTGGTATGACCCCAGAGCTATCCGCAGCTTTCTCAATCATTGGCCTCAGACTAGGGACATGCACCACTTTCGTCAGTGGATCGACGTTGCTGACAAATGTCTCCCAAAGTTGATGTATGCGGTCTATCGAGGGATGGCGAGGCCTACCGCCGGTATGAGTATGTCTGAGGAGAGCAAATCCTGAGTTATCGGATATCGCTTCTTCTTCACTAATATCACTCGAGTCTTCCAAATCGTTCTCCGGATCAAGAGACTAAGCACCGGTTACTATCTAGAGGGCAAAATAGGAACTGGAAGAGTTTTTGTAGGGTCTTGTCACACACCTCTTCGACCACTCTATTCCATAGAGTGTTTTCGACAAACTTGAAAGATGTCTGTCCTTGAACATTCGGCGTTTGGATAGCGTATGGAGACGGTCCGGACTCGAGAGATGAAGGCGTTCTCAGTTGACTGACATGCTGCTGTTGTTGATCAGGCACAGTGTGTGTCATAGGCTGTGATCCATTGTTTGTCCAATCTGGAAGCCTTCCGACGTCGATCCCTTGCTCTTGAAGAAGGGCTTCATACTGTCGCAGTCGGTCAGTCAGTACATTAACCTTGACGCGCTTCTTCTTCTTCTTCGGCGGTTGCACTGGATTGAAGATGCAGTCAACGCTATGCTTGATGCAAGCACTACATGGTTTCTGTCGGTCGCATTTGACTACAGAAGTGTACACAAGTCAGCGCGTATGCCATACACGGCATGCACGACAACATGACTTGCCTTTTCGTTCAGCACATCGTATGCATGAGAAGGTTGGTCTTTTGTGTGTGCCTGAGGAAGGCATTGTGGTTGCCATTGATAGATTTGGCTTCTTAAAGTAGCATTGGCGGCAGGAGTTGGCACTTGAAACTGTCGCAACCCACTGAATCGAAGTACGGGCAACAGGAAGAAGGTTGCTGGAGTTTGCGTAGGGGCTATGTTAGAAGATGGTAGATACGCGGCGCCTCACCGGGAATAGTGCCCTGGCCCCACAAAATCCCACGCTCAACGCCCGAGCCGTCGCCCGAATGCACGAAGCCCGAAGCACGCCAACTCCGAATCCTCATCAGCTTTCTTCTTGTATGCCCGAGACCACGCATCCGGTCACAAGAGAAAACAAAATGTCGTATATAAAACATCATTCGGTCTGGTCATCATGGCAGAACATTACTCACCAAACCGTCGTTCACATCTACCACACCTCTCCTCGGCCAGACAACCACCCCAACCATGCACATCCTGATTGTAGGCTCAGGCATTGCCGGACCGACCCTGGCTTACTGGATCTCCCATAATCTGGAAAACTCCATCACTGTCCTTGAGAAATCTCCCTCGCTTTTGCTGTATGGGCAAAATGTCGACATTTCAGGCAGCGCGGTAACATGCATAAAAAAGATGGGTCTGATGCCGCAAGTTAAGCATTGCAACACCAAAGAGCTTGGCACTCGGTTTATCGACTCATACGGAAAGCCATTTGCACCTTTCCCAATCAAAGAAGGAAGCTCAGCAAGTCTAACATCGGAGTACGAAATCCTGCGAGGCGATCTAGCAAAGATCTTGTACAACGCAACACAGTCCCATTCCAATGTGACCTATCTCTTCAATACCACAATCACGGAAATCCTCCAGAATGATTCTTTGAGCGTAAAAGTACTCCTCAGCGACAACACAGTACGCACGTACGATCTTCTAGTGGCAGCAGATGGCCAGTGGTCTAAGACACGCAGTCTGATCTTCCCGTCCCAACAAGTCACAATTAGCCATCAGGGCATGTACTCTGTGTATTTTACCGTACCACGACGCGCAACCGATACGGCATGGTGGAACATTTTCGTCGCACAGGGCTCACGTACTATTTCCACACGTCCTGACCCTCATGGTACACTTCGTGCGTTGTTCACATTCATGCCAACTACCTCCGCCCAAGAAGCCCAGTGGGCCGAAGCAAGTAGGATGGGAAGAAAGTTACAACAAGAACTTCTTCGCAAAGAGTTTGCAGACGCGGGTTGGATTTGCGACAGACTTCTTGGTGACGTGGCCGCAGCACCAGACTTCTACTTCCATGCCATCAACCAAGTCAAGATGCAACGGTGGAGTCACAATCGTGTGATCTGTTTGGGAGATGCGGCATTTTGTCCCAGTCCGTTGACAGGCATGGGGACGTCGCTCGCAGTTCTAGGAGCGTATATTCTGGCGGGAGAATTGAGCTGCATGACTACTTTCTCTTCTTCTGTTTCGACTTCACTTTCAATGGATGCTCTTGCGACTGCGCTTGCGAGTTACGAAGCGAAATTTCGACCGTATGTTGAGCAGAGTCAAGAAATTCCACCTTTTGTACCGGGGTTCATGCATCCAGATTCGGCGTGGAAGAGAACGATATTGCATGGATTCTTGACAATGGTGTCCAGGGTAGTAAGGTGGGAATGGGTCGGCCGATGGTTGGGGGACGCAGAGAGTAGGGATGATGGGTTCAAGTTACCAGAGTATGTGGCGTTTGAAAGCAAAGACAAGAAGTAACACAATGCGGATGGAAAGGAGGAGATGGGGTAACGTAGTTGTACTTCAGGTAAACAAACATGGGTATCTTGATTATTACAACCTATACCGTAAAACTAGTCAATCGAATGGGAAAAGAGACAAAGAATAAGTCAATAGCACTCCATGACTGAGACCAACAACGCCACGCTATGTACGGTGCGATGCAAAACCTTCGTATCTCATATACCAGCCACTCTGGGTGGCTCATCGCCCAGGTTCAATACCTCAGTCTTCTGCCTCACAGCGGCCCAGTCGGTGGGATCAATACCAACCCTGGTTTCCTCGGACCCATCTGCGGAAGGACGTTCTGGAGCATCCAATGCGTCCTTCGAATCTGCAGATACCAGATCTTTAGCCTCATTAACTGGGCTAACAAGCTCAGGTTCTGACTTGTTCTTTACAGCGTCATTCAGACGGGTCGCGCTAAGCGGATTCGAATTATCCTCCTGTAGCGCAGCATCACCAGCCACTTGGCGTTTAGGTGGAAGCTGGAGTTCCTTTCTTTCGACATGCTCACCATGCTCCAACGAAGTAGTAGGAGCAGTACTCATCCTATGCATACCCCCACCTCTCGCGTTTCCGTCTACACTTCTCCGTGCGTTTCCAGGATCCGCGACCTTGGCCTGGTCCTCTGGACAGACTCTGCCTGGCTTGTCGTTGGGTGTATGAGTGTTTGGTCTTCCTTTGGAGTACGACCGCCTCCCGTCTTTCTTTGCAACTTCTGTGCTCTTGCGCCCGACTCTTTGACCTTCTTTATGGTCACCTCGGCCTGTGAGTGACCCAATGATGCCGTTCTTGTGCTGCTTCTTTTCTTCAGCAATCGTCTTCTGTAGAGCCTTCCAACGGATGGTGACATTCTCCTCTACAGATTCCTTCTTCTCAGAGGTTCGCTTGGCTCCTTGTTGAGCTTCTTGAATGGCCGAAACCTGAGATTTCGATTCCAGCATCGACAGCTCTTTTTGTCCTTCAGCAATGCGGGCACGGCGTAGATAATTAGTAGGTTGGTATCGTTTCATGTATTCTGCGTCAAGCCCCTTCATCGTGTATGCCAAAGGGCCAAGAAGGGCTGCGATATCCTTGAGTACGAAGCCGCCAATGCCAAAGCCCACGCCTCGCACCGCGCCCACGACACCGTTCTTCTTCGCGCCATTGTAGGGCTGGGTGACAAGACCCGAAACGCCATCCATGACGCCATAAACAAGCTCGTCGCGACCAGCACGAGTGCCAGAGTGGAAACCCGTCACTCGAGGTGGACGGCGCACCGTTTCATCTCCGTACAGACGCGGAGCGTTGTGGAAGCCCTGTGTGATAGCAAGTGTCAAGTCCATAGGAAATCTGGCAATAGCGTGTCCGGTCTTCCTGAAGCCAAATGCAGCTTCGCGGCTAAGCTCTTCAGCCAATTCTTCGTCTGGTTCCGTGATTTTGGAAAGCGTTGATTCGTTGCGATTTGCTTGTGGCCGACCTGCATCTTGGCTGTCCTGCTTCTGTTCCGTGCTTTGAGCTCCATCTGGCGTGTTTGCATTTGCCTTTACTAATGCGGCCTTTTTCTGCTCGTGACGCTGTTGATGTCTGCGCTTCTTCTCCCTTAGCTTCTCCCGTTTCCTGATACTCTTCCCCATCTCTACAGGCATACCGCCTACACCTGCTGCAGCATCAGAAAACGATGTCATCAAGCTGCCCCAGACGCCCGTGATAGGCTCTCCCGGTCCGCCAAAGTCATTCCATTCGTAGTGTCGAACAAGTCGCAGGTCGCTCCATTTGAGCTTCCTCTTCTCGACAAGTATTTCAGCTGCGAGCGCGGAAAGCTTGATGTCCGTGTTCTTGATCTTCCACACCGCAGCACGGTTATCGAGGAAGTCGCAACGCATGCTGCCCTCTCCATGTAGAGGCAGTGATCTGTGAAAGGAGCGTACAGCATTAAGCGCACCATCACCTTCCTTCTCGATGCTTTCGGCGATCTTCTTCACATTCTCTTTAGCTTCATCAGTGAGACATTGCTTGATGCCCTCTGCTAGCCGTTCAGCGCTAAGCTTTTTGTATGGTATACAATCGTGAGCTCCGGCCTTTGCCTTGCTGACCATCGCACCCCAGAACGGTTGGTCACCAAAGAAGGGCACAATCATTGTCGGTATAGCGCACTTGAGACCGATAGCGGTTGTTCCAGCACCTCCGTGATGCACCACAGCAGCGCACTTCGGGAAAAGCCAATCGTGAGGTGTGTTCTCCAGCATGAAGACATTCTCCGGACAATCGGCATTGGAGCCAAACCCACCCCAGCCCTTTGAAACAAGAGCACGGCAGCCGACAGATTTCACAGCGTCAAAGATGAGCTTTGTGAATTGATCTGGATCGTCTACGACGATGGAGCCGAATCCGATATAGACTGGAGGAGGTCCGTCGTCCAAAAACTTCTTTAGCTCATCTGGTGGCGTGAATGACGAAGCTAGATCAAGGAAAACAAAACCGGAGATGTCAATTTCTGGACCCCAGTCCTTGGGCTTTGGGATGAGACCCGGTGACCACATATATGTGTAGGGTACTTTGAGCCGATAGAGTTGACCTGGCGCCCATATCCTGCTGACTTCCTCGAGATGCAAGACCTGGGTACGAAACCGGTTGATGAGATCACCAAGCCCTTGCCACATCATCATCTCGACGAGTGGATATGACATGAAATTGCTGTAGGTCGCTTCGACATTACTGGCCTTGATGTTTGCAAGTGGATGAGGGAACTGGCTCGTGGGTGTGTAAGGGAAGCTTTGGTAATTTAGTACTGGATTGAGACTTCAAGTGACAACAACTTACGTGAACATCATGTGTAGCGGTATACCCAACTTCTCGGCAATGTGAGTTGGAGCGAAACTTGGCGGATTTGAAATGATAGCATCCGCGACGAAGGGTGCCTTGTCGCCCACTGTTGCATGTTAGCTAGAATACGGCGCAAGCTGATCTGAACGACTTACTCATCTTGGCGTTCGTTTTATCGGTCTCATCGTCGGTCGCATTGATGCAAGCACGCCACATGCCTTGGAACATCTCGTACATTTGGCTCCTCCGTCGGCCAATCTCACCCTCCTTGATTGTTTCGATATTCGGAATCAGACCAGGGTTTTTAACCATGAAGGCCATCAGCTCGGCTGGATTACCACCGACGGAGAAGAATTCCAAGCCCGAATCCTTCTCCACGAAGTCTTTGAACGCTGGGTGTGTAGCCAGACGAACGCGGTGCCCATAATCTTCCTTTAGAATCTTGCCTATGCGAATGAAAGGCTGGATGTCACCGCGCGACCCGATGATAATGATAACGATATTTAGCCTGATCCTTCTTGCAGGGTCATGTTCCATTTCGTCATCTTCTGGTTTGATCTTGGTGGCTCCGACCTCGTCGTAACTCGCAGGTCCCTGGTCCTCATCGTTGCCATGCTTCTTGAAAGCTGTGCCTAGAGCTTTTGCAATGTAGCCACTACCGAGATTCTCCTCCAATATGCTAAGCTTGAGACGTCCATCTGCTTTTGAAACCCTGCCTTTCGTGTTGAAGTGTTCGTTGGAGATCTTCAAGCGGGAAAAGGGCCCGGACCGGCTTCCGCGTGGCTTGCGTGTCGCTTGCTTGGTGAGGTCGTCAGCGTGACCGAGGCTCTTGCGAGGATATTCTTTCTCATCGTCTGAAGAGTCGGAGGAGTCGGAGTCGGGGTCGAAAGTAATCGTCGCTGCTCTCTCGGGCGCTGCTGGTCTTGCCTCGCGTGGTTGTTGCATTCTTCCCAGTAACGAGTGTCTCACAGAAGGTTTCGGTCGCTCAGTCGCCCATCTGTGCTGGGCGGGACGCGATGTCGACGTGAATACACTGGATGTCGACTCGGCGGCATGCTGTGATGCTCGAGTCGGTCGGTCTGGCGACGATGCGCCGTCTTTCTGAGCCATGTCTGCGGTCGATGTGTCTTGGGTGGGCGCGGGCGCGGTGGGCTCTTGGCCAGGAATATTCGGAAAGGTCGGCTCTTCGATGACCATACCAACGGGCGAGACGACGCCCTCGTCTTTGAGACTAAGAGTAGGGTTCGCCATAGCTGCTATGCGAAGAAGTTTGGCGTCCTGTGGGTCAGCCGATCTGGATCTTAGTGATGGGTCCGCGTTGGCGGGAGTGACGGAGCGATGATGGTGACAGCACAGAGAGAGAGCGAAACCTAAGCCTGAAGGAACTCGCGCGCCCCTGCTTCGCCTGCATGCGCCAACAAAGCTCTTGGTAGATTTGTCTGGATGTGGACAACGGTCGCGCGTAAATGTGAAAAGACACACGTGCGAATCGCGTCGAATTGTCGTAGCGGGCGATCAGGGCCAACCGGTGGACAGCAGGAACAGGCGGCATGACATCACATGTAGACTACGGGTCTTGCGGAAGGCCCCAATTCGGGATTTAACTTGGTCGGGTTAATCCAATGACCTTGAATTTGTGCCTGGGCGTTCCTTGGGCGACTCTTTTGCCGAGGTTGAGCGACAGGGATTAGAATCCCATATTCTGAAACATGGCATTGTCCAACGCGGGTGCTTGTCGCAAGCCACTGGGTATACCAGAGTTGTGAGAAGGTGGTGTATAGTACAAGCCTCACCATCTACTCACTGTGGGATGTGTCGGTGCATTCCAGCTGCGATGCATACGGCCGATGCTGCATAGGCATCGTGACCCTATGATGCAAGCCTTAGTGTGTAGCGTTCCGATTCATCCGCCTCGCCATCCAAACTCATACAAATGCCCCCAAATGCGTTATAGTCGGCTTCTGGAAGTAGCCGGTTTTCGATCTGCAAGCACTTTTGGAGGGGTTTTTGGTCCAATGCAGCTAGCTGAGAACGCTTTTGACCTCCATCTTCCATTGGTTGGCCACTACTGCACAATAGTTCTAGCGCCAGAAGGTGTTTGTTGCCGGCAAAGCCAACGCATCATGGTGTCTGATGACGATAGTGTTTGATTATGCTCCTGGACATAGTCGTAGCTTCACGACGAGTTATCACCGCCCGAGGCCCAGACTGTACAGCGATGCTTTGACAATGTCCTGCGCCCATCCAACCCAGCCTCTCCCAGCCTGGACCATGTTCAAAATCTTGACAAAGGTACGGTTCCATTGATCCTGATCTTCCCAATCATCGGCATAAGGCTCGAAAATTGCCGTCTCAATACTGTCAGGAGCGCCAGGAGTGACGAGCTCCCACTCGCCATTATCTTTTTGACGGACGTGCATCTTGGGTCCTACAACAAGGGCCCTGCCGAGGATGCGCGAATCGGCAACGAAGCGTGTTCCTGCATCGACTACATCTTCGACCTTGCCCAATCCGCCTCCTGCGAGTATGAATCGCGCACCAGCTGTCACAATGGGCGTGTCGATGAAATACGGACAGAGAAGGTTCACACGTATGCCTTGAAGGCCGCTGGTAACCCTCAGGCTTCTGAAGAGACCGAGGACTGCATGCTTTGCAGCACAGTACTGCGGCTGTATCGCAATGGGCGCAAGAGAGGCGATGGAGCCTAACAGTAGTATATGGCGGTCGCGAGGGGATGTGGTGGAAGGCGTCGAGTTCAAGCTGCAGGGCGAGGAACCCGGGTTCTTAGGTAGCCAGAAACAGGCAAGGTGAGTAGTGTAGAGCACACCAGTGAGGTTTACATCCATGATTTTGAAGGCGGGCGGGGGTGGCTCGGCTGCATCAAGGTTGACACCTTCCTGTAGGACGTCGCGGCCTGCTATGCCAGCATTTGCGACGACGCAGTCGAGACCTCCATGTGGGCTCTTCTTGACTGCTTCCTTGAAGAGGTTGACCTGCGATTGCCAGTCTGTCACGTCGCAGTGTACGAAGTGGGCAGAGCCGCCATTCTTACTGTCCTTGTTGATGTCACGACACAGGGCGTCTCCCTTGTGCACATTGATGTCTCCGACAATGACGGTTGCGCCGGCAGCCACCCATTGTCGCACGAAGCCTGCGCCGAAGCCACTCGCTCCTCCGGTTATCAGTATGACCTTGGCCTTGACCCAGGCTGCGTCGTAGGGGACGGTTACGTCGATGGGCAGCGATTGGACAATGTTTGGTTTCTGTGGCTTGTAGTCGTCCATGGCTGTGTCTTGTGCTGTGCAAAGCTAACTAGAACGAGGGGCATGGAAGTGGGAGCTGGGGGATGCCTCTTATATCGTGGGGGACGTGTACGGCCATGTTGGTGCTTCAGCTCGCAAGGTGCACTAAAAACGAGCAGCCTCGGCTCGCTGGTGCTGGGTCGCGCATCCATAGGGTGCCTGAGATGCCCAGAGGGGGTTACATGAGCTGGTGGGGCTGTTCCTGGATCCCTGCGTAAATTTCCAGTCGCATGCACCCCCGCCTTGCCTGCGAACAAGTCACGGCTGCTTGCGAACAAATCACGGCTGCTTGCCTGTCCTCGAGCTGCTCTCATCCGACTACTCGATCCATGGCATCATGACGGCCAAGCCCCCCGCCCTCGATGTCTCGGCCACGCACCTCGTCGCGACGCTGTTCTACAAGGCCGACACCCCAAACTTCTTCCAGCATGCAGACTTGTCCCCACGCAGTCCCGGCGACCCCATCCCATCCGCCTCGCTCGAGTCGCTAAAAGACGGCGTCGTGCCTACCCAGGACCTTGCAGACTACCCGCTCGAGCCGCCGACTCCTGGGCCCAACGCCCTCGACAACCTCTATGGAAGCTACATCAGCCAAAGCTGCCTCACAGACTTCTTCGCCACCCTCACCAGCGTCATCGCCGGCCTGGAGCAGAACACGATAACGAGCAGGAGGCTCGAGGCGAGCAAGCTCTGCAGGGTAGTCGAAGTCACCTTCCCGCTGCACAGCGCTTCGCCCATCGCGCTCGAGACACTGCGGAGGCATGAGGCTGTATCGCGCTTCGAGCGCAAATGGAACACCGAGTGCGTCTTCCAGCCAGACACGGTCCACCGCCGATACAAGAGGCTGGCTGTCTTTGACATGGACAGCACCCTGATACAGCAGGAGGTCATCGACGAAATCGCCTCGCTGATCGGCGTCGAGAAGGAGGTATCCGCCATCACCGCTGCCGCCATGAACGGCGAGTTGGACTTTGAGGCTAGCCTGCGCGCACGATGCAAGCTGTTGAAGGGCGTGCCAAGCAGTGTCTTCGAGACGCTGAAGCCGCGCATCACTCTGAACGAGGGCGTCAAGGACCTCATCACCGCTTTGAAGCGATTAGGCTTCAAGACTGCCGTTCTCAGTGGAGGCTTCACTCCGCTGACGGGCTGGATGGGCCAGCAACTCGGTCTCGACTACGCCTTCGCCAATCATCTCGTTGTTTCCGACGACGGAGCCACGCTTACCGGCGAACTGACTGGCGAAATTGTACACGCCCAGAAGAAACGCCAACACGTCCTGGAAATTGCCGAGAAGGAAAACATACTTCTGGACCAAGTTGTATGCGTCGGCGACGGCGCCAACGACCTTCCCATGATGGGTGTGGCTGGTTTGGGTGTTGCCTTCCATGCAAAGCCAAAGGTGCAGATGCAGGCTCCTGCTCGCCTAAACTCCAAGAGCATGTTGGACGTCCTGTACCTCTTTGGTATCTCCAAGGAGGAGCAAGAAGCACTATTGCGATAGCGTAGCTAATCAAGACTACAAGAGGTAATCAGCATACACCCACTCGAACCGGCCACGACGCCACAATATGCAACCTAGCAGTCTGACTAGATATCGCACGGGTCGTAGATAGCGAGTAACAAGGCCATTACTTTGAAAAGGATCCATGTACACGACTGGCCCAACGACTGCATACCCTTATTCCTTCAGCTCGTCCCTAACAAACTTGCTCTTCCCCGCAACCTTGACTGCCAATAACCAGATACTGATATCACTCATGATGTCCGTCGTCCCGACATCCGCTCCGATAGCCTTCGAAAACCAATTGCGCATCTCCACCGCTACCAAAGAGTCTACACCGTACCGATAAATCGCCTTTTGGGAGTCAATGTCATCTCTGCTAACGACGAGAAGACTGGATAGCTGAGTTTGTATAGCTTCGACAACGATATCTGTAGCTTGAGCCAGCGAAGTAGCTTCGGAAAGCTTGTACGAAGGGCGGTCCTTGGCTTCGGCGGATGCCGTGTCCGAGGAGAAGCGTGAGGGAAGTGTGTCCAAGTAGTGGTAGATTGGCCGCGTACTACCCAGAGGTGCAACGATACCCATTGCTCGAAGATCAGCCGGCAGAGTCAAGGGTGTGATGATCTGGGAACCGACTGTGCTAGTGTCAACACGCTCCGGGTCGCAGCAGAACCGGAGAAGGTTGTAGATATCATCCATGGGTACTTCCTCCAGCATGCCACGTACGCGGAGTAGAGCTTGTACTTGGTCGTTCTGGGCAACGTAGCCGACGCCTGTGACCATACTGAGTGCGAGAGCGTGGGCGCGCTGGCCGTGGCGCATTCGATGTGCTGCTAGTGCGTCTTGATATGTGTTTCCGACGGTGTAGTTTGATTGACCAAACGAACCCATAATGCCAGTTGAGGATGACAGCATGATGAAGAAATCGAGGCCCAGCGGTAAGAGCTGGTGTAGGTTCCAGGAGCCGTCTACCTTGGGCGCGAGCGACTCGTGCCACTTCTCCATTGTCATGTTCGCAAAGGACGAATCTCGCATTACCATTGCTGCTTGAATACATCCCCTGACTGCCGGAAGATGAGCAAAGGACATAAGCATATCCCTAAGCTGATCACGATTGGCGATGTCGCACACCGGAGCATATACCGCTGCGCCTTGAGCTTTCAGTTCCTGCACCAAGTGATCACGCTCTGATCCAGTGCCATCGACTGGTGACCTTGATGGTAAGATGAGATGCTTGGCTCCATGTTGTATCATCCACCTAGCAATGCTCTGGCCTATACCTCCAAACGCACCAGCGATGATGTAGCTGGCGTCTGGGCGGAAAAGGGGCTTTGCGGAATCCTGAGCGAGTTCCATCACTACAATCTCGTCACTGTCCATCTCGATTACTACCTTTTCCACCATGTCTACGTCCTTAATCCGCCGGAAAGCGGGCTCGATCTCGCTCTGCTTGAAAACATTTGGAAGTGAAGCAATGGTGACCTTATCGTCTCCTATAAGCATCAACACATGCTTGAAGATGTCAGCAAATACATGGCTCTTGGCCAACTCTTGAAAGTTGACGCTGACAAAAGCAATGTTTTTCGTGGTAGATGGAAGCACAATGTCTTTTGAGCTATTGGCGGTCGAGTGGAAAATGTCCTTCTCTCCAACTCCAACAAAGCGTCCGAAGGAGGCGATACACGGCCAAGAATCACTTAAACGATCTTCAGAGCCCACTACGACCGCGACGCCTTGACCATTCGTCAAGCGGAGGATACCATGTTGAAGATCGAGGCTGTCGGTCGAGAATATGTTCGACTTCGGAATATGTAGAGTGTTTTCCAGGAAGAAAGCTCCATCAGCCGTGCTTACTGTCGCAAAGATCTTTGTGTACCCATGAAAAGCGGCAATCTTGATAATCGCTTGACCCAACACACTAGCGGCATCGTGAACCAAGATCGAGTCGCCGCTCTTCATGCTATAGCACTGTTTCAAGCTATAATAGGCAGTGCAGAAAGCCACAGGGTAGGCTGCGGCCTCGCAGAAGCTCATCTTATCTGGAACTCTCTGAAGCTGTGAGACTTTACAGCGAGCAAGTTGCGCGACGCCATCTCGTGTCACGCCGAAGACGCGATCGCCAATTTGAAAGCCTGCATCATGCGACGATCCGGTGCTTACCACAACTCCAGCAATTTCACTTCCAAAGGTTTCGTCGTGAACTTGGCCAAGGGCTACCAAGATGTCCCGCATGTTAAGACCGACTGCCTTTACTTGAATGATTACGTCATCTGACGCAAGCTCATTGATTCTGATAGAAGTTTGCTCATAGTGCAGTGTGTTCAAGACACCTGCGGCACCAATGGTCAGCTTTGGGCTGTCAAGTTCGCTCCAAGGCTTGGTGACGTAAACGACAGTGTCTTCAGTAGGCAGTGCTTGGACAGTGAGCTCCGCGTCGTCAACCACACGCGGAGTGCACAGACGACCATCGATCTCGCAGTACTCGTCTTCTGGGTCAATTTGCGGTTCTAGTAGCGTGGTGGCAACCTTAACAATGTTGGCAGCAACTGTGTCAAGCCCAGTCTCAAGATCAAGGCTAATGCTCGAGAGCCGGTAGTCTTCAGACTCGGTCGCCAGCGTACGTACCAGTCCCGAAACGAGGCCTTCCGTAGGGCTTTGGTCAATCGCTTGGTGTTGGAAAGTGATCCACAGGAGGGTACTAGCTTTCGAGAGCAGACTTTTGATCTTCGCGAGCTCGTCCTTTTGCATGCGCTGAAGTAGATTTCCGTCTAAACCAGGAAGAAATATGCAAGAAGCCTTGTCAAGCTCATGCTGGGCGATCGAGCTCCATGTGACTAGAGCTACGCCGACGTCGCCTTGCGCTGACATTGTTCGCCGAAGAGTATGCATCAAGTCTAACTGCAATGGCTCTAACTCATCATAGATGATGTGAATGCAAGACTTGGACGTCGCTAAACGAGGTGACAGAGTCGTCAGATGATGGAATTCGGCAGGTTGCCAGTTTATTCGGTACAAGCTTCGACGCCCTTCTTTGTTGCCCGCCGATGGGCTATTGCGACCGATGGTGGAAGTCTCTAGATCACCGTAGAAGCAGATTTCCTGCGTATTGGCAAACGCTGCGGTGACGGAGAAGAGCTTGTTGCGGAATCCACGTCCAGAAACCTTCGCATGCACGGCCACATCTTGCGCATCTGATGAATCGCGCATCAGCTTGACAGAGAACCAGGCGTTACTAAAGCCCGTCGGCACGGTGGTAGCTGATGAGTCCTTTGCGTAGATGGAGTAAGCTGGAAACGTCATCTGAAGAATAGCGTCCAACGCAGCTGGATGAATAAGGTGCGGATCGCTGTAGCTGAACTTCGCATGCGTCTGCCAATCTCGAAGGCCAATCGTACCTGTAGCCTGGTTGTGCTGATCCCATTTGACGTTGCGCATGCCCTTGAACGTTGGACCGTACGTAAGACCAGCTCGACTAAAAGCATCGTAGATGTCAGCACTGTCGATAACAATGCGACATTTCTCTGAAGCTGCGAGGTATGCCTGTTTCTTCTCTTTCGTTGCCGTCGCGCATTCGGCAAGATCTCCAGAACTGTCATGGTGATTGCCGTATTCAATCGCAACGAATCCTGTACAGCACAGGTGCCATCCGCCATCCTCATGTAAGAAGAGGGAGAATTGATTCCATAAGCTACCCGGCTGCACATCACGTGATTCGACCACTGCGGGCCGTAATGTGAGCTGAATTTCTGTGCCACGAGCGTCTGCTGAAAGTGTCATGGCTTTGGTGAATGTGACGTCTTTGAGCTTATAGCCTGATACAGCTGCGGTTTGATGACCATAGTACTGGCGCGTGGCTTCGATAGCCATCGAAAGCATTCCCGCAGCAGGCATGAGGCAAAGACCGTTAATCTGATGATCTTGAAGGTATGGGGATTGGTCTAGAAGAATACGATTTGTCCAACGTGCTTCGTGCTCGTTCCAGTCGGGTGTGCGCGAGCCAAGAAGCTCATGATGCACAAATTGTGTTTGACGGTACTGAATGCTCGTTCGGCCTTCGAGCCAATATCTTTTCTTGTCTTCAAATTGATAACATGGGAGTGAGGGTAGGAATTTGGGACTGATGTCGCTGTCCTTATTAACTACAGCTATATCGATAGTTGCGCCGATGGTGTGGAGCTTCCCAGCACATTCCAGAGCTGTAATGTTGGCGGCGTGGTCACGCCGTAACACAGAGCTGTAGTCGATCGCAACATCTCTTCCGCTTTGTTTGAGTATATCACGTAGCGGTGAACGTAGAACAGAATGAGGGCCGATCTCGAGAAAGAAACAAGTCGAGGCATCTTGTCGTGCGCATATATCCTGCAACGCAGCTGAGAACTGTACTGATCCAGTAAGATTTCGTTGCCAATACTCAGAAGTATGCAGCTCGTTGAGTTGCTGAATATTCTTCCCAGTGACGGTAGAGACAAAGGACGGTTGAGCCTCTACTTGTTCACCAGGCTCGATCGTCCGAAGCAGCTTCTCATAAACATCAGCAACTGGCTTCATGTGATGTGAATGATAAGCAACGTCGATCTTGAGAGTATGAACTTCGACATTTGCTTGTTTGAGAGCGATAGCCATTTGGTGAATCATGCTATGTGTACCTGAAAGTGTGAAGCTACTCTGGCTGTTGTAGCAGGCGATAACGACGGGATTGGTTGGATATTCTGCATTCTGCTTGTTCATGATATGTTTCCAAGTTTCAAAGGGGGCCTGGACAGCTATCATGGCGCCCTGAGAAGGATTGATAGTCTGAGTGATGGCGACTGCTAGACCTCGAAAGTAAGCAATCATCCAGGCAGACTCTTGTGAGATTGCACGACTAGCATAAGCGGCAGCGATCTCACCCGAAGAGTGACCCACAGATATTGAAGCGCGAACTTTCCAGGAGATCAACAAGTCATGGATGGCCACCTGCAGAGCGGTGCAGATAGGCTGACTAAGCTCCGGTTGATGGATGATTGAATCGTCTTTCGACTTGAGGTATAATTCGTCGATAAGGGACCATTTACTGCCAAGTGACTTGAAGTACCGATCTGCTCCAAG